ACTATTTGTTCTGTAAACCTTCACCTGAAGTACAATAAAAAAAAAAAGGCAGAAGTGAATTGGATGGTTTCTGGTTTCTGAACTTGGAAGACAAGCTGACTGGAGTTTGGGGGAGAAGGAGAACAAAAACTCAAATCCAGTACAAACAAGCAAACACAGAAAACCACTGCTGGCATACTAAAATAAATTATAACCCTAGACAATTTACAAACCTCGCGACAGAAGTTAACTTTTAAGACTTAGTCTATTATGATTCTAGCTTTGCTAACCATACAAAGACAACATCTTACTTGACTATACAAATAAAACAAAGCATTAAATTAATGATGCTGAATCACAGAATTTCTAAACAAACTTCTGTGGTCAAGTCCTTGTCCTTAGGGGCAAAGTACTGACCACAAGGAGGGACTATGGCAGCAAAACCGACCCTGTGCCCTGCCATCATTTGAACAAGGGTGCACATCACATCCTACAGAGGAGAAACAAGCAAAAGGACACACTGCACTGAGATAAACCAAAAATAATAGGGTTGCCAAACACATAAAACTTTGAGCATTTCCTGTAAGTTAGAGAATCCCTATGCAACCAACTCTAACCCTGACTTTTGCAATGCTCGTGTCTGAAAATATGTCATAGCTTTTGCAGATATGATAATTATGTGATAAAACTGCTGGTTTTCCACTGCACAAAGACTAACTATAAACTCGGTAACCTTAACAACTTTGTGGGTTTTTTCCTTTAAATATCTGTTTTGTTTTGTTTTTTCTTAAACATTTTTATTTTTTTAAATTTTTGATCCTTTTTTAAATGTTTTTATTGTACTTTAGATGAAGGTTTATAGAGCAAACAGGTTTCTCATTAAACAGCTAATACACATATTGTTTTGTGACATTGGTTGCCATGTGTTTTTTAATATGATGAGCCATTCTGAAATCTGACTTCCTCACAACTCTGCAAGTAAACTTGTTTTCCTTTCTAAATGGTTTTGTCTCTCACTTCCTTTCACAAAAGGAAACAAGAAAACCTGAACAAATTCTGGAGCCATGTCAGATACATGCCACCACGTCACTCCTGCTGGTCCACGTGCCAGGTTGACTTGCCCAGCTCCCTAAGAAGTACATGCACCCTTGAAATACACATACTGAGCTAACATACTGTAGTTTTCCTTCCAAAGGAGGTACTATCACACATTCCCGTTGCCTCCCAAACACAGCTCCTCCAAATGCCCCAGCGGGTGCCACTCACCTTGACAGAGTTGTCCTGGCTAGAGGTAGCAAGAATGTGTTCACTGTCCGGGTGCCAGTCGAGGCCATGGATTTTGGAGAGGTGGGCTGCGAGATACTCCACTGCTGTACTGGGTTTCTGCAACAGATCAGCACTGAATATCGTCATTCAGAAAGATCTCATTGAGTCTTTACCAGGTAGCAGTCTGCCGGGAGCTGAGCAAGGACACAGAAATATTACCAGATACAGTCTCTACCCCTTCAGAAACTCCCTTTGGTTTTGTTTAAAAGAAACAAAACAACAACAAAAGGCTTCTTCAGCTCTCCTTCACACGTGCTCTGTACTCAGGCCTAGAAGCCTAACCATCTCCCCGCTCCAGCCCCATTCATAGCTTCAGTGAAGGATGCAAGGTAGTGAGTGTTCTTCACCCTTGGGTAACACAATCTGCAATTCCTGCTCCCCTTCCTCACAACTGCCCAAGAAGACAGGCTGTGACAGACCCAACCTCTATCCTGAGGATAAAACTACCAATCTTAAAGCAATCGTGCACTAGGATCTGAGACAGAATGAACACAAAAATTACAAAAGAAAACAACACAAATGATCAATAAGTACATATAAAATGGACAAATTCAAAAGGAAACCTCAGAGATACACATTAAAACAAGATATTTAAAAACTTACCAAATTAGAAGATATTTACAAACAATACTCAATATAGGTGAGGCTGTATTAGTAACTGCTGGTATACATATAAAACAGTACAACGCTTTTGGGAAAAAAATTGGTAATATTTATCCAGAGACTAAAATTTTCTTTCCTTAAAAGAATAATCCAAATTTATAAAGAGCTTTATATATGAAAGATGTTCATCTTGGCGTTATGTGGAACATTAGAAAACCAGAAAACAACCTAAATGGGAAAAATGTATCTGCTGCAATGTTAAATAAAAAAATACATATAACCATGCACACAACTTGAGTGCAAACATGTAAGCATTAGAAACTAACCAAATATTTTATTTAAATCAATATTATATTTAAGTGATACACTGGTGACAATTTAAAAAGTAAAAGGAGGGTAGGGACAGCTATAAACAGACTGAACTAAAACACAAAACTAACATACAGAAGATGCACCCATCCCAATTTCTATTTATGAAATCACCTTCTCTCCAAAGAGCTACCTTCCGTACAGGGCTTCAGCAGGCACCCAGCTCCCCAGGAGGTCCTGATACCTAATCCAGCAAGACAAAGACCTGCCACGTCCAGCTCTTGCTTGGCTTCCACCACCCACCCCTTCCCAAGTGTATGACAGTATTGCCTGCTGGAAGGGGAAGGGAGCAATGCTGAGACTTCATGGTCAGCACCTGAGTTGGGGGCATCTCCTAAACAAGTTTCAGGAAAAGGCTGAGGATCCCTAGCCTCAGGTTTCAAAGCAGGAAGCAGCATTACACCCTAGATCTTACAGAAATGGACTGCTCTACGATTACCCATTCATCCAGCAGAAAGCTGCAGGGGAGGCCCTTTCCCTGCATCCTTATTCTCACAATGGCAGCATACCAAACTTCCAAAAAACCTTCCACTACAGCAGCCGCCTAGGACCCAGCATCTCTTTCATGCCTCTCAGTTACACAGGCAGATGCAGAGAATATATATGATCTTCAGGCTATTTTGAGGTTGATGGGATGTCTAGACCTAATGGAAGATTTGGGCATAATGGGGGCCCCCCATCTCAGTGATTTATATCAGAAGCATTCAACATGGAATATGCCCTAGAACCCGTTTTCACTTTGCAATCTGGAGCAGGGATCAGAAGCATACTGACCATTCTAGAATAGTGTCTGTTCCCCAAGGCTTGATCTCAATAATACATTTGCTATTATTATGTTTATTTTGACGATGAGGAAACTGAGGCTTAGAGAAGTTATAGTGGCTTACCTGATGTCACAATTAGGAGACAGAAAGGCTGAGACTCTTAGATTAGGCCAAGTTCATTTTCTTAACCACTGATCATACTGCCTCACTTCCCTACTTTTTGTTCATTACCAAGTTGACTGGGAAGAAAATGTCACCTGGTACTATGAGCATAAAGTGGCAATTTACCATGCTGTACAGGGAACCCAGTCCTGGTACACACAACATCCTCTTCGTGCTCTCTGACATGGGCCAAAGACCAACCAGGGGTGGGAGGGAGAGAGATCACTCACTCGCTTGTCCCATATCCGCACGTCCCCATCATGACTGGTGGCAAGGCAGTTAGCATTTTTTTTATTCCATTTGACCTGCGAGGCACCCGCTGCAAAGAGAAACCGGGGGAACAAAGCTATGCCCTCAAAGCCTTCGAAGTCAGAGAGAAACACACACCCAGGGGAGGTGGCTAATGAGTTCCGGCTGAACAAACACAGAATCCTTCAAATTTCTACTACTGAACCAACTCTATCATTAAAGGTAAAATGAAGCCAAAAGATAAATGAACTGACACATGCGAACAGGATCAGAGTCTCTTAATTGAGGAAATAATCTAACTTAGGGAAAAAACCCACAGGTTACCTCCCAGCAGAATCAGCAGGGACATGTGACTCAGCATGGCACTGCTCATGGTAATTGACTCTTCACACAACCTGACCCTTCATCATCTCCTCCGACACCAACCTTGAGTTCCTAATGAAAAGAGCTGCAGCTCTAATGCCTGCTTCTTCCTCCCACTCTCGCTTTTTTTCTTTTTGGAGGGACAATCTTTGAAAAACACAACCTCAAGCTGAATCTCAGCTGAATAAGCCCCAGTGTTAATCAAATATGTCCTCAGAAGGTTATGTGTACCCCTCCCAGGCTCTCGTTTCCCATCAGCAGAGTTAGACGTGGCCACTGGCACTGCATTCAGTCAGAGAAAGGGGACACCCTTGGCACTATATGAACTCAGGTCTCTTCCCACTCTGCCACTACGAGGAGGTAACAACAACTACGAAGAGCTACTTCAGAGAGGAGGTATGATGAAAGATGCCAGAAAGTGCTGAGACATGTAGAAATCTGGGACATAATGGTTTTTCTAGTTAAAAAAATCAAGTTAACTAAGTCAAATCAGAACCAAATTGATGGCTCATCTTCCTGTCTCGTCCTGTTCTTGTCACACCACAGATAACACTGCTTTGACACCTCTCCCTTTTGATGTGTTGATGTTTATTATAGAGGAAAATCACACAGATACTTTAGAGAGCAACCTAATCCAAGAAGTCCAGAGAGCATGTGATAGCTCAAAGACTGAGAAACCAACTGGAAATAGAGATTTAAGGCCCAGAACTTGTATCTGCCTAAGGATATATTGTGTCGGTTTTGGAGAGGGTATCTTTTGCTTATTTGTTTTTTCCTTGAGACATACGGCATTTTGAGTCATCCAACAACGAATGGTGGGGACCACTGTAGGTGAAACAAGTTAGTGTATTACTTAGGAGACTTAGTTCCTTTGCAAAACAGACCATCAGCTAGAGAAGAAAGTAAGTACGAAGAGCTTCCTCTATCTCCTCTTGACAGAGTTACCTGAAGAGTTCAAATGATATAATTTCTTCAGTGTTCCATGAGAAACATGAAGGCTCCCAAAGGATTCTGGGAACTTCATAATTCAACTGTGCTTTACTAGGGTCTCTGTGAGTCAGCATCGACTCAGTGGCAACAGGTTTTTGGTTTTTTACTAGGATCAGTGACACCAGGGTCAAATGGAGGTTCCAGACTCTGAGTTCTCAGACCCAGAGAACACTACTGGAGGATACACAGATGTGCTCTGACTCCTGAGCCGAAGGGCATACACAAAGTGCTCAGTGATAGCTAGGGATCACAGATTCTGGGGAGTAGGCAGTATTCAAGGCTGTGCCTGTCAGTATATGTTAGATCAAACAGCTCATTTTTATCACTTTGTTATAGATATTGTATTATTATAATTATTATTATTACAAGCCTTTCATTTGCCTCTTTTCTCCAAGGGTAGCTCTGCCACCACTAAGCAACCTCACTGAGGTGCAGAAAGGGAAGGAGTTTTGTACTTTTTTACAACAGAAGTACAAGAATATAACAGAATAAGAAAGCAATTAGGACAAGTGGGATGAACAAAGAAGCGTCTTTCTTTTTAGAGTTCCTCTAAAACCAATCCAATTTTGAAATCTATGTAAGTAACAAAGTCAAGGGAATGTGATTTGGACATTATAAAGACCATCTGTACTTTTGTTCTGTTGTATGTCCTGCCTCCATGTCTCCAGTCACTCTATGTCTCAGATCGTAAGCATCTGAAATGCAGGATTAGATCAACAGAATTCTTCAGCACTGAGCACAGATGCACAGGTGCTAGATTCCCATTCTGAGCATCTTCTCTGGTCAGGCACAAATGCTGACATCGGTCCACAGCACCGAACAAGACAGACATGATCCCTGACCCACAGAACATACAACCCAGCTGCTTAATACAATCATGATATTAAATGCCTTTAAATAATGAGGCACAGAGGTGCAAACGAAAAAGGAGAACTGTGTAATCATTTTAGAGCAAACACCAAAAGTGTATTCACATATACGAGGTACAAAGAAACAGTATTTAAGACACAGATAATACATTTTTATCAAAAATGAAAAAATACAATACTGATGATTAGGCTTCATCATTGTGAGTAAGTTATACCAGTTCTATCCCCAGGCTCTGCTCTCGGGTATAAAATTCCAAAAACAGTCAAGGACAGCTAAGCAATGAAAACAGGCAGACAAGAAGTTAACTTCAAAGACTCAGTCTGTCCATATTAAATGACACCATGGGGATGCAATCAGTATAACCTAAATTGTGGGAAAACCACAGACAGACAACCTGGTTTCTTCAACAAATAAACTGCAGGAAAGAAAAACAAACAAACCAAAAAAGGAGAGGGAGAAGACACCTACATATTAAAAAAGATAATAGATGAATCACTTGCAATTAATGGACTTCATTTGAATCCTGATTCAATTTGCTATTTGAAGATATTAAGGAACAATTATTAATATATTTAGGTATTTCAATGGTATTGAGGTTATTTATTTTTAAGGGTTCTTAACTCATAAAAAATACATTCTGAAATATTTTTTGATAAAACGATATGCTATCTGGGATTTGCTTCAAAATAACCCCGTGGGGATAGACGAGAGGGGTAGGACAGTGGGTGGAGGTAAAGGTGAACTAAGATTGGCTGTATGTTGACAACTGTTGAAGCTGGATGATTACTGTAGTTCATTTTCTTCTATTTTCATATACATAATGAAATTTTCCACAACAAAAAGGTTTATAAAAGATCAACCTGACTCTTCTCCTTGAATTCTGAAATAAGTTCCTGCCTCACTCAACAGCCCTGACTCTAGCCTCTGAGAGCAGCCTGAAGCAAGTCCCTTGCAACATGCAACTTATAATTTCACCCAGCCAGGGTGGAGCATGGGGAGTGGGCTGGTCAGAGTGTGAGAAGGAATGGAATGAAGTCAAGCAAGGGCGAGCGCACACTCACCTACAGCAGACAATGCAACAGTAGGTTTCCTTGTGTCTCTGAAATATAAAAGTCAGAAATTAAATGCCTGCTTTTCGCCCTCTGCACATCTTTCTTCACTGTTCTTTCAGTGGGAACGTGGAGTGAGATGTGCTGTGAGGACCTTAAAAAGAAGTGTAAAGAGAGGCCCGTTCCCCTCCAGGTAGATGAACTTTCTCAGCCAACTTCAATTGATACTTAGTCTGAATTTTGAATCATACAGTTGTATCCAGAGGAAACAAATTACATGATTTAGCATGGCATGGGTGACTCTGATGGGGGCGGGGAGCAAAAGAATCCCTTCCTAGTGGCATTTCTCCTACAGGCAACAAGGGGATAGTCATGGAAGGGTGACTCTGCAGAACCTTCCCAACAGTATTGCAAGAGTGAATTTAAACTACTCGTGGACACAACGGGAGACTCCTGGAGAGACAGGCTCCATGGTTCACCACAGAGTTGGACAGGTGATTTCTACAAACACATGGCAAAATGACCGAACTAGGTGGCAGCCTTGGGCTGGGTGGGCCAGACAAGGTAAACCTGAGGCTTCAGCTTACTGTTCAGAAAAACCAAAGAGAGTCTCTGTTTTTAAATTAGGAAAATAATTGTTTCATAGAAATGAAGAATACTCTCTAATCTTGCCTCATTTGTTTAAGAGCTTCCCTCTCCCATTTCCCCCAGATGTTGTGATCTTCCCCTCTAACATGCTAATCAGCATACGATGCTGAGTCAGCTGTGCACACACTTATTCCCTAAGATTCCTCTCACTGGTCTGTCTGGTCTGTTCCACCTCCAGGCCTGGCTTGTCCTCTGCCTACAGTCCCACCTCTCAACATCAAGCATCATAAAGCCACTGCCATTTGGAAAGCAGAGGAGCCTGGTAAGGGGAGAGGGTATCCAGTCTAGGGAACCGCAAACTACACCCTCAGAGTATTCACCTTTATTAGGGCAAAGGGAACTTTGTTCTACAAAGGAAGAAGGCAATCAATATTTATAAGAACTTGTGATGTTCTTATAAATGTCTGGGCTGGGAGCTCCTTTACTCTTTACTCCACAAAGGGTAACCTATGGGGTAGCAACTGGCCCCTTTTATAGATGGAGAAAGGAAGCCTGGCAAGAGCAAGTGAAGAGCTGAGCAGATGTGTCTCTTTGCACTGCCTGCTAGAGCAGAGTGTGTCTGTACCCCATCAAAATCCCCCACCTTACTTACCACATCAGTAAACACCAGTCCGATTTCCACATGCCAGCACCTGTGTTTCTTTACCAAAGGGATTTCACAGGCTGGTGAAACCTGCTTTGCAAACCTTTGTGACAGAACTGAAGTGCCAAGGAATTAATGCCCCCAGAGGCCTTCTTAAACCAATGACTGAGAGCATACGATATCCTCACTTCCTTAGCTTTTGGGTGAGACACCTCTGAGAAGGGAGTTTTACACTACCACCTAGCGTTCCCCAGTAAAGTTAAGCTCTAGCTGTTCAGAGTGGTACCCATCTGATCTCATATCCTTTATTGCAACCTTCCTGATCCTGTCTCTCTTCTCCATTCCCCTTCCAGCATTTCTTTGACCTCCTAAATAATCTACTTGAATCTTTGTCTCAAGGTCTGCTTCTAGGGGAAACCAAACTAAGGCTCCTAATCTCTAAAACAGATGTCCCAAACAGTCACGCAACAAAGTGGTTGTGTCTCTTAATTGTCCTTACTTGATATCCCATATGTAGATATAGGTGTCCACAGAGCTGGTAACCAGGAGATCTGGCTCAAACACTGCCCAGTCCAAATCACTAGGAACATAAGAAATAAACAGAACAACAAAGAAAAGAAAAAAAAAATTCAGAGTCATGTTCCAAAGCATTAGCAACTTTAGTCTCTAGTGGCTTCAGAAAGCCACCCGTTAATGGACTTCTTAAAACAGTTCAGGCTGGCAGTCTCCAAAGTCTCTGTGGGAACACACAAGACTTAATTGATCCCTGAAGGAAGCTTTCAGGTTTTTCCCCTGTAGTCTCCAGCTATACTATTTGCCTACTTCCAAAAAAGAAA